TTTTTAATTAGTTATTATTTTATTTATTTTTATATTTCTTCTTTTCTTTTTTTTATTTCTTTAAATAAAAAGATCTTCCATTCGACACTCATCACTTTAAAATTTGCTACAGCTTAATAGTTTTTAGTAAATTTTATTATAATATTTTACATTAATTTATATATATTTACAGTACTATTTATATATTGATTTTTGTAGTTCTATTATTCTGGAATTTTATCAAAATTATTTTTAATTGAGGATTCCTTTTGTTTTATTATTATTTTTAGCCTTCTAATCATTATAGTCTTTTTATATTAGGTTTAATATCATTTAAGATCTGAGTACTGAGATCATTCTATTTCATAGTATGCTATTAGATGTAATTAATTAACAATCATAATCCTAACTTAGTTTTTGTTATTTGTTTGACTTGAACTAATGATCTTGCGATTAGTTATCTGGAAGCATAATTACTTCACTATTAATCTGCAGGTCTAACACATTTTATTCTAATTTTACTTTTAAAAAACTTATTTCAAAGTTATTTATATCAATAATTCAAAACTTTGACATTTTATATATAATTGCTTTTTAAATTATTATTGCTATTTTTCTTAATATTAATAAACAATTATATAAACAATTATAAAAAAAATTTTATATTTATTTTTCTAACTAAAAAAAACAACAAAATAGATCTCAATTCTAACATATTAACAAACTTTTAACATTATCTAATCTAGCTACTAGGCATATATATTTTTAAAGAAACTATACTTATTTATGTTTTTGTAGATTTTTTGATCAATTATATATTTGCTTTAATATATATTTTTCTATTGACTAAACAATTTACAAAATTAAAGATGTGGCGATCTAGTAAAGTAGTTAAGTTGTCAACTCCCAAGTGGCAGGTCCAGAGTTCAAATTCCAGTATCAACAGAAAATTTGAAAATCCTTTTTGTGTTATGGTTAACTGTCTCTTACAATTGGTTGGAATAAGACACTTACCTGTAATTTATGTCATACTAGCATGACTGGCAGGTCACATGGCATTTGTGTAACAGTCACATGACATTGTCTTTTGGGACAAGGTCTGTAGTTACACAAAGGAATGCAAACTGGTACCAGGCAATGCAAACTTACAATAAGTCCTCATGACCATGTAAATCATAGAAACCAATAGAAAAAAGATGAAACCTACTTGGAAGACCTGAATAGAGAGGTAATTCGAACTTTTGATAGTGCTACTATAAAGACTAGACTTATGAAACAGAGCTATAACTTGTGAAACTGAGCAAATGTATCAGTCTTTAAGGAGAGACCAGATGAACCAACCAGCTGTTAAAATTTCTAGGTTCTGAAGAAAAAGGGTACATGTTAGCAAACATGTAAACCAGAGGTATAGTCTTGCTCTATCTTTCTGGGCTATCTGAAATGACAGCTTGGTGGAACTTGAATTGAATACCAAAGTAGTAAGGATATATTGTGAAGTAAGTACTAGGGTTAGGGTGAACTCTACAAGGGCATAGCAGTTTAATGGTACACCCTGACCGCCAGTATTGATCTTGGTCATAATGATACTAGGTCAGCTATAAGAATGGAATACAAAAGATTCTGGAAGGTTTAGTACAAGGTCAAAGGCTCTAAAAAAACTGCTTTAAAGACTTAATGACCATGGCATATTTTTACTGGCATCAGCCAGAGTTATTGGTAGGCAGAGGTAGGTGGGTAAATACGAAAACAGAGTGGTTAAATAGGAAACCTACAAGTGGGTTCCAGGTATGGCAGCTAGTGTAGAACCTTCGGGCAGACTACTTAAATTAAACAATGACTAAAGTTGTATAAGTGACTAGTTGTACACTCTCTTTATAGTTGCCTCTTGTGGTTGTAAAGCAATTATTAACCAAATATACTATCAATAAAATCCTGTGTCACAAGTACTTACCTTAATATTTAAAAAAAAAAAAAACAATTCACAAAATTATTATTTGATCTATTTTATGAATCAAATATAACAATTATTAAATTATATACTAAATATTTAAATCTAAATAACTTTGATTACTCTAGTAGGTTTAGGTTATAAATAAATTAGTTTAAGTTTTTATTTTTGCATGTAATTTTTAATATATTTGATTTGTACAAATAGTAATAATTGTATAGTTAGCAATTCAATAATTAACCCTAATTGGAAATATTAACTTTGATTATAACATATATACATATAACTATTTTAAATTACTAATAAAAATAACCTTACTATTAATATTAAAAAAAAAAAAATTTACTAATAAAGATATAAGCAAGGCCTTATTTTCATATTGAAAAAAAACAAAAAAAAACAATCTATATTAGGGCACTGTTTAAAATTTATCTAATAAATACTTTATGTTTTCAAAACTTTAAATAACATCTTAACAATTATCTAACTAACCTTAATAAATTTTTGATTAAATCAAATTAAAAAAATTTATTAAATTTTGTTAGATAATTGTTAAGTTTAATAAGTATTTAAAACTTAAGCAAAAATACTTATCTTCAAAAACTAAACAAAATTTGATATTTTTATTTTTATTTTAGTTCTACAGGCCTGCTAATTAACTAAAAAAATCTTTTAAGATTTAATTAATATATAGGATTTTTAGTTGAACAATCCCAAATTCCAAATAACTACATATACGTACGTATAATATTGCAATACATTCTTATTAACTAAAATATTGTAATTCCATTACCAAGCTTATCGTTATACGTATACATATATTTGCATGATTATTCTACGTATATATATTTATATAGAAAAGGTTTCTATACTTACAACCAATTTACCTAGTTCTAAGATATTCAAATGTTCTAAATTTAGGGAAATTCAGGTGATTCTTTAGTAATGGAAGTGGCTATATTTTTAGTAAATTAATTCCGTTACAAGAGTAACAGCATGGAGGTACGCGTCTTAGCAAAATTCATTCCGTTCGGTGAACAGAGTATACGGCAAGAAACTTTCAGAAAAACTCAAGAACAATATCGGGTCACAAAATCAGAATCGATAAAAATTAATTCGATTGACAGAACGAATTTTAGCTATAAGTTATACGGAGGATTTAGCCAGACAACAAATGAATCAACTAATTCCGAGGACGTTGATGAAGAACTCTTTATTGCAAATAATGAAGTCATTTGGAGCAGAGGAAACGTTTTGCTAAAGAGCTTTAAATTTGAGGAACCGGTTGTTCAAGCCTTGTTCGTCTGGTTCAATGTAACAAAAGCTCAAAGAAATTCGTATGGCAATCAAGCAGATCTTAACACCAAAAATACGAACGGAATCGAGCGACAAAGAGCATTGTTTGTTGTTCTTGAAAACTTGGCCAAAGTGTACTTTTTGGATGGACAACATTTTCTTATTAGACTTCCGTCTTTAGTGCGACGCGCGTGGGCTATGAACGTTGGTGTCATTCTTCAACGCGTTGTTGAAGATAAAATTCCTTCTAGTATGACGAAATTTTCGCCATGGCCATTACCGACGCTTTATAGTCTTTTGGATCCATTGGAAGAAATAAAACCTGTTTCTATTGTAAATGAAATCACACATAATGGGCCCAATATTAGCATAAAGGGAATGACGCGTCCTTTTTCAGATGTTGATGATATAGTAGTCTATGTCAACGACTGTGGGCAAGAAGGGAGCCCAATTTTGGTTACTTTAAACCGGATAACTCTGCGACACTCTATTTATAAATATGCGGTCATAAAAGAAGATAATTTAAAGACTAAATCAGTAGACATATTTGATTTAAAAATTGGTCCAGATGTTAGTGTTGATACTTTCTTGGAACTGATTTGGACAGAACCGATCGCTCAAACGTAATTGTCAAAATTACTATTATTTATTACTATATTGTTCGTAATTATGTTGTCTGAAATTTTTTTTTCTTTTTTCAAATAAAGAGCAAAATTCGAGGAGACCTCTGTGTTTATCGCCCATGATTTGGATGGGCACGAGATTCTGTGTATTTTTGCTAGTTCAACAAAAAATTTTGTAGCATTAGACATCCTTGTTTATCCGCATGGATTTAAAGTGTGTCCCAAACTTATTCTCAAGGTTGATGCTGCAGCTCCTGTTTTGGCCACAAGATCAAGAAATTACGATATTTTATTTGCAAGGAATGAATCGTTTTCGGCTTTAGAGTTGTGGATCGGATACGACAAATATATTCCTTTGAATTTGAATTATGAAATAATTAAAACAGAATCTCAATTGGGGAATTATGGAGAAGAGCGGAAAGATCTACAAACAAACAATGATGATCCGAAATGCTCGCAAGCAATTTTTTCTCAACGACTTCCTCAACAATATCTTGTAGCAAACCAATTTATTTCAGATAAGATTTGGGAGCTAAGGGATTGGGTTCATAATCGAGTAAATTTGGTATTAAAAAACGACATTATACGAATTAGCTTAAATTTTATTCCAAATTCAAAGCTTGTTCGTACATGCTTGGAAGCTTTAAGCTTTGCGCTACCAACAACCCTTTATTTTGATTTCAAAGCTCAGTATTTCTTGTCTCAATATGGTAACAAAGAGTGTAGAGATATATTAATAGGCTCTGAATGGGAAAATTTCATTATTATTCTACTGTCGTTTTTTCGCTTGGAAGGTCAAGATGCAATTGACCAAGCATTTTTTAGAGAGTTCGACAAAAGTGATTGGAATTTCCTTTCATCAACATTTAAACATTCCAGGTTCAATTTCAACAACCATTTTCGGTGTATTCAACCTTCAACCATAGTGGAAAATGATATAATGATTAATTCGTTTAAAAATTCACGGAATCTTTGTGAAGCCTTTTATGCATATTATTGTCAATTAGAAAATAAATATTCGGCATTTTTACCTTCGATTCTCATTTCTCTTCATTTGGTTTATCAAGATTTAAAATTAAATTACACATCTCATCAATACATTAACGAACTTATTCCGTTGTTGATGCAACTAGCTAAATTCTTAAAGTGGGATAATTATGTAGATTATTATAAACGAAGCTATGGGATGAATCAATTAAAGCTCATAGAAGGTCGGTTAATATCATTTGCAATATTCGCACTTTGTCATACATTACTTACTATTGAATTTAATGAATCTCCTTAGGTGTTATCATGGAATCGGCGTTGAATCACGATCACGCCTTTTTTTCGCCACCTGATATTAATCAGTGGATCTTAAAATGCATTCGAAAGCCAATGGAGGCAAAGGAGCCTTTTCCAACACCTTTGGATATTGGTCAAATTTTTTCTATCCCAGAATTAAATGAAAATCTGGTCCATGACTTTGATTGCTGTCAGAGAACCAGACAAGTGTGTGCTATTTATCACAAATTAATTAACGAGGGAGAAAAGTCAATAATTCTTGAAATAGTGAACATAGGCTATACCATTAATGACATTGACGCATTACCATGTGGCATTGCGCTTCCTTTACGTGAAGCTATAAGAAAGTGTCGAGAAAATCCCCCAAACGATTGGCCTGGAGAAGCCTACATACTTGTTGGTACGCACACTTAAATGTACATATTTTTTTGATTATGAAGTAAACTTCATATATTTAACTTGTCAATAAACGTTCAGGAAGAGAAGACTTAGCTGAATTAACATTTGGAATGCCAATTGGTTATATACATGCTCGTGGTAACAGAATGGTATTATATTAAGAGTATAGACCAGTATTAATATAGTATAAAGTTTATTATTAATTGAGGTCTTTAAAAAAATTTCAGGAAATGAAACCAAAAACTATTGCACAAATTGTCGAATCGACAATACCCACGATTTCGCCACAAGATCAACACGAAGAGATTAATGGAACAGAGATTTCAAACCATGAAATAACTGATTTAAGATTTGGCAATGATAAAAGGTTGCTAGAAGTACAAAAACTTTTACAATCTTGTAACACCATCAAAGTTGATTTTCCTACATTGGATTTAAGGTTTGTTTAAAATCTATCACGGAGAGAACTTTTAATATTAAAATGATGCTTTTTACATTTAACGTTGCCTTTTATTTTATAAAATTTTTAGTGTCCAGAACGATGAAAATTCTCCGCAGATACTTGAACGTGTTCAAATTCAATGCTTAAAAAATTTTTCGCATCCAGTCGGTCGCGCAGTCTTAACTTATGGCACTGTCACACCAATAGCCACGGAACCTTTTCCGATTCCTGGATTAAGTCAGGCAATTAAAGTATTGCCTTTTAATACTCTTATTCAAGCTGATCGGGCGCTTCGACTACCAGAATCTGCGGAATGGCCGGAATTTCATGATGGTGCAGCATCGGGTTTACGAATTCCTTCAACTATTGATATCGAAGGATCTTGGATTTCTCTTAATAAGCCCAAAGAATTAACAAACAGTCATGCAGGGTTTCTTTTAGGATTGGGGCTGAATGGTCACTTGAAATCTATGGCGACATGGCAAGCGGTCGAGTATTTGATGAAAACGCCTAAACATGATATTACAACAATTGCTTTAGTGCTTGGTCTACCAGCCTCATATATTGGTACCATGAATGCCGAAATTATGAAATTTATAGCTGTTCATGTTACTGCTATGTTCCCACCAAAATCCACTAGTTTGAATGTATCGCCTCTTATTCAAACTGCGTCTGTTCTTGGTTGTGGATTACTCTACATGGGAACATGTGATCGATACATGTCTCAGGTCATGTTATCGGAAATTTCGACGAAAGCTTTGAAAATGTCAGATAGTTCTGAAACTGATTTTACAGAAGGTTATTCGCTTGCTGCCGGATTTGCACTTGGATTCATAAATTTGGGACAAGGTGATAGCGCACGTGCTTCTGTTGATCTTGATTTGCTCAAAGAATTAAGATTATATATCTCTGGTGATAAATGCACAATAAAGAAACTATCAGCACATGATACGAGTGCTAGAATTGATAATATTAACATTAACATTACATCACCAGGTGCAACGATAGCTCTTGGATTATTATATTTGAAAACCAATAATGTTAATGTTGCAAATAAAATTCCCATCCCTGAAACCGAATTTTTCTTGGATTATGTGCGGCCAGATTTTCTTTTAATAAGGACACTTGCAAAAAATTTGATATTGTGGGATAATATTCAATCTACAAAAGAATGGGTTGAAAGTCATGTGCCTCAATATATAACATCAAAGCTGACGCCTAATTCTGATATTAATTATGATAACCTCGAATCTATTAGGAGATCGTATTATTATATATTGTCGGGAGCTTGTTTCAGTATGGCACTTAAGTATGCAGGATCCGATGATAAGAAGGCACTTAAATGCTTACTTTCTTATCTTGATTTATTTATTGGATTGGAAAATACAAGAAGAGGTAAATTTCGCCTCAAAGTTATAATTATGTATGTAAATTCTGATTTATACTTGTAAATTTTTAGCATCAACATTCGATGAAAATATCACAATGTCAGCCATCAAATCTTGTTTGAATGTTTTATCTATGAGTGTCTCAATAGTTGCTGCGGGTAGCGGAAATTTAGAAGTTTTACGAAGAATACGTAAACTTCATCGACAAGAAGTTGATACTAGCAGCTCAAGTACTATTTCGCATTCATATGGAACTCATATGGTAACAAGCATGTCATTAGGATTCTTATTTCTTGGGGGAGGAAACTTTACACTTTCGACGTCTAACAAAGCGATAGCAGGTTTAGTTTGTGCATTATTTCCGAGATATCCAATTGAACCATATGATAATAGGGCACATTTGCAAGCTTTTAGACACTTGTGGGTATTGGCAGTTGAACCAAGATGTTTAGTTTTGAGAGATATTGAGACCAGAGATGCTTGTCATATTCCAGTGAAACTTGTATTTAAAGATTATTATAACGCCGTAAAAGTAATAAGAGATGATGGTAGAGAAGAAGTTTTAGTTGATAGCAAAAGCAAATTGATAGTTGCACCTTGCTTGTTACCTGAATCAGGTTTCATTCAGACAATTGAAATTGATAGTCCAAGATATTGGCCTATGCGATTAGAGTTCGGAAAAAATTTAGAATTTGATCGTAAATTTTGGAAAGATCCTACAATATATACAAAAAGAAAAATTGGGCATTTAACATATACAGAGGTAAATTTTTGTTAAGATTAATTGTCCGAAGCGTAGCGGAGAACACTGTTTTTACGTCTGCCGTTGATCAATCGTGTCACGTGCATTATGTCTGTTCGTTTCTGCATTTCTGGTTGGCTGTCAATCGTGCTTCGGACTCACAACGGTTCCCGTTTTCCTAGTAATATATTGCAAACGTAAATTAATATTATATGCGCGCATATCATTTAAATATTTTAGGATCCTCAAGGTCTACGTGATTTACTTACACGCATTTTTCCAGATGGCAAGTCTTTGGTAGGTACTAAAAACCAAACGACTTTCAGGCGACAAAACCTTGATTTTATCAGAATTTTTTCGTCTGATCCGCAAGTACAAGCATTTACTCGATACCTTTGCGAAGACTTTAATGCTAATGATGATGAACAAGCATTATCAGCATTTTGTACAGGAATTCTTTCAGAATGCTTGAACGAGGATAAAGTGGAAGCGATTCAAATTTATCAAAAGCTTTATCAAATTCAACAAGATATGGAAGGAATTAATGAAATGGATTTATGGAATGTTATGTTAGTTCTTGAGTATTATGAAAACATACCGGAAATAATACACCGCAGCGAGGATAACGAAGAAGATCAAAAAAACAAAGGTCGATTAACTGATAAGATGCTTATCAAGAAAGAATTTATTGCATCTTTAAGGTTTATAATGGAGCGATATTTCGAAATTCCTTTCGATGTTTTTGTATCTTTCCTTGCTGAAAATTCATCGTTGTCAAGTACAGTCAACGTAGAAAATAACACAAATACCAGTCGAGCACAAAGATATTTTTCAAAAATTTTACATTCTTATTTTACTGATACTGAATTTCCATCTGCTGAACAGCTTGGAGGAGAAGAGAGTAAAAAAAGATTATTGCAATATTTAGCGAAATGGCTTATTTACTATGAAATACCTGATAAACATATATTATTAAATTCTATAAAGTATGTTAGGGAATTAAAGGAAAAATTAAGCTTGGAAATAATGCAAGGTGGAATAACGAAAGATGATGTAGTACTACAAATTCTTTCGACATTTTGGCCGAACCTTTCCATAAACACATTAAAAATCATTCAATATTGTTTGAATTAAATATTATTAATGTTCGAGAAAAAACTATTTGCTTTATTTTATTTTTATTAATTATATTAATCGTTCGCGTTTACATGAAGAAATTGTTGCACATCATTTATTTTAAATTTGAAAAAAATAAATGTTTTTTGCCTTATGAGAAAGAAACCACCAAAATAACGGGTATGGGCATTATTTCAAAAACGCCCCCAAAAATTTGGCATTTTTGAAATAATGCATCCAGGAATTCATAATAATTATGCTTTGTGATTATACGAAAATAAATACACATTAGTTTTAATAATATAATAGAAACGAGAAAAGTAAATATAACTAAGTTATAATATCGTAACTAGGGTTGGGGCATCTATGCCCTATAGATATATATATTTATATTATCGTAATTAGCAATAGTAAGCTTTAATCACGAGCCGAAGTTTAATATATCCATATTTCAGTAGTGATTTGTTATTATACATTGGTTGTTTCATACACTGGCGATCATAAATAATGCAACGAAAAAAATTTAGTCGGATCGTATTATCTCACGCAATTTCGGGCGTATTTGTTAAATTTTTATTTTATTTTATTCGCAAATAGCAATATTATCATTAATAAAAAAGCTTTAAAAATTTAGTGATCAAAATTTTTTGGGGGCACGAGCTTTATTTCAATATATGTATTGCATTATTTTTGCTCGTTTTAACAGCAACATGATTGTAAAATAAAAAAAAATTTTTTTTTTTCTAATAATTTTCAGCTATCATCATCTGGTGTAGCTATCCTGGGCTCTAATTACATCATGGATTCGTTTTGACATTGAACAAATTAACCTCATGCAGGTTTTAATGTCAATTGCCTGTCAAACCATCAGAATTTTTTCATAGAGGTCTTTTTTACTTGAAATTTGAACAGGAAGGTCTCTAAGATGATGATCAACTTTATCTCACAAATGTTTGATCAGATTTAAATCAGTTGATTAGGAAGGTCAATTAAAAAACTTTACTTTCTTTCTTGTAAGTCAACATTTGGTCAAGGTTGACATATAACAAGATATTTCATCTTGTTGAAAAATAATTTCATTGATTTCAAATTCATGATTCTCAATCATTTATATCAAATCTTCATGAAATATTCTAAGATACAGATTTGTATTTATTATATCATCAATTTTACAATAACTACTAATATTATGAAAGGTAAAACAACTTCAAATTATAAATAATCCATTACTATATTTCATAGTGGGTTTAATATGGAACTGATTTAATGATTCTTTATAACACTTCCAATAATACTGTTTATTATCCAATTCAAAAATTTAGAATCTTGACTTATCTGATCAAATTATCTTGGACCAATCTTTAACAATTTATTTTTTATATTTTTTTTACAAAACTAAGTCATGTTATTTAATAACTATCACTTAGATAAGGTTTTTTTTTATTCTTGATACTAAACCATAATTTTAAAATATTTAGTAAATAATAATACTAAAATTTCAATATTTTTATTTATTTTAAGATGGGTCTTTATTTTAATGATAATAAAACAATAAGAGGTAATTAAATTTATTATTCTTCTTTGAATTGATTTATCCAATAAAGTTGGATGATCAACCCTTCTTAAATCTTCAAGTGTATGGTTTATTAATTATTTTTTTCTAATTTATAAGATTATAAAAAAGTTAATATAGTAGACTTGATCTAATGCTCTTGTAGTATTGTAATAAAATTTACTAAAAGCTATTAAGCTATAGTAATTTTAAAGTGATGAGTATCAAGAAGAAGATCTTTTATTTAAAGAAAAATAAAATAAATAAAAGTAACTAAAAATATGAAATAAATATTTAAAAATAGAATTTAAATTCAATAGCCTTCTAGATATTATAAGGATTTTTACAATAGGCTGATTGTAGAGAAGATTTGATCTATTGTCTTTTTTGTATTAGCTAGACTTAACAAATAGGTTACCTTTTACAAGGATTACCTGTACTAGACTTAGAAGTATCCTAAGACATTAAAAGAGATGATTAGCAACAGATAATCAGGCTGTTTTAAGCTATATATGGTTTTTTAAATTTCAATAATATAAAAGTAGTACTTGTTAAAGTACTATTCACAAATATAATTATTATTTTATATTATTATAAGAAAAAAAAATAAAATATTCAATAATATAAAGTTAGTATTTGCTAAAATAACTAATTAAGAAAACCAACTTTCTATTTTATATTATTATAAGAAAAAGGAAGAAAATTAAATAAAGAAAGATAATTTATAGAAGCAATAAGATGAAAGAATAGAATAAAGAATAGTTTTATTAATAATAATAGGTAAAATAATATTTTATTAAAGAATAATTTGAATACAAAAGAACTTTTATATAAAAAAATAAGTTAAAAGAAATTATAGAAGATACTATTAAAAATTATTAAGAGTTATTCAAGAACTATTAAGAATTATTAGAAACTATTAAGGGTTATTAAGAGCTATTAAGAGCTATTTCAGGAACTTCTAAGAACTATTAAGGACTTTTAAGAACTATTAAGGACTTCTAAGAACTATTAAGAATTATTAAAAGCTTTCTAAGAACTATTAAGAACTTCTAAGAACTGTCCTTTTAGAAAGACAAAAAGCTATTCTTTTTATAGCTTTTAGCTTAATAATTGATTTGTTTTAGAGCTATCATGTGTTGTAGCATCATCCTGGACCATATAGACATCCAAAATACAGCAGAAATTAAGAAATTTCATGTACATTTCACCAATAATGCTTGTGCATAAATGGTAAACCAATACTGTATCTTTCTATTTTTATCAATGCTTGGTATTCCATTATGCAATAACTTATCTATTAACTAAAATAAAACAAAAATTATTGTGTAGTCTATATGTTTATCTACAAAACTCTCTATAGTCATTTAGCATTTAGAAGCCTTCTTACAGATGTTTTTCTAAGTATAACTAAAAATAACTATAGTAATACATACATCAGCAAAAAATATAAGCGAAATATTGCGAAAGATTTTGCATACCGAAAATCTTTCGAAATAACTGCGATTGA